CCTGATTGAAGCTTTATTAAGACTGCATGGTATTGTTATGTAATTATCCTTTATATAATTATTTCTAAATTACCTTCATTTATATCTTACTTTTGCATCAATAGAAATCTTTTCTTGATTTATTATCAATTGAAATGATCAAGGTTGGCATTGTTGCAACGCTGTGTATTTGGTTGTCAACTTCTTCAAACTTTATAAGTATTTGGATAAAGTGACCCTTATTTTCATTGCTTTACACTTTACTTTCATATTTTTGCACATGATGTGTACATGCTTTCAAAATATATACAATCTTGGTATCTGGGGTTCTTCTCATGTTAGCTTGTATATTTGCCTTTAAGAGTTTGGTAACAGGGGGGCACCACAAAATATTAGAGCCTGGATCAAAGTTACAACAGCTTGTTCTCAATTGAGGTGTGTTCTTTTACACTAAAAACAAGTATGTGATTGCCAATACTTGAAGTCCATACAAATATAAGAGTCGTCTTGACATTGAGATTTTGGTATGACAATCGGTGTTCTTTAACATTTATAGTGGACCTTGTTGATACAAGATCAATAAAAGAAAACAATCGTTTTAGGAAATTTTACGGTAAATGGAGTAGGAAATTTTAATTTCTCTTTTCCACAAAAAGGAATAAGAAATTTTGATTTTTTTTATTGTAGAAATAAAGTTTTGGAAAGTTTTATAATAAAAGGAAGTAGAAAGATTTCCTAAGTTCCTAATTCCTTCCGTTTAATTTATTTTCCTATTTTAAGTTTTCTTTGTTTATAATAAAAGGAAATGGGAAGATTTCGTAGTTTCCTTCTATTAATTTATTTTCTTGTTTTATTAGGTTTTCTAGATTTTCTATTTTGATGTATTTTGGTGCCTATAAATAAGGTACCCTAGTTTAATTATTAAGTAAACTATTTATGATTATTATTTATATTGAGATATTATTTTGATTATTGAGGTCCAAGACCTTTAAGTATTGTTCTTAATAAAACTTCTCTAAATTTGTAGTTGAATCTTCTTATTCTACATTGCTTGTCCTTTACCATACCTATGTTTAAATTAATGTGGATGTTTGGTTCTCCATTTGATTGTTCTCTAACCTTCAAATTTGATTTATTCTATTTTCTTTTGCAGGAGCAAACAACCACTCTTTTTGGTATCAGAAGCCGAGGATTTGGCCGAAGTTATCATTTGGCTTCTTTTGGATCGCCAACTTCAAGGTCTTTTGGTGCTTTTGCAAGAGTGCATTGAATCACTCATTGAGTACTTTAAAGATCAAGAATGGATTAGCAGCTGTGAGAAAATAGCCAAATCTCTTGCTCGCAGGTTATGACCTTTTACTTCTAATTTCTTTAGGATCTGTGTGCCGTAGTCCAATATTGTGTCAGTTGGATCTGTCTTATCCATATGCTCTTCCAACTCACTCTATGTGTATAGCTTTCCTTATTTATTACTGAGAATTTGTAATTAAATATTAAATTTTTATTCTATACTTAATTTACAATATCTGAATATATATAGAAAAATATTAAAGAGAGTTTTAGTAGAAAAATAAATATAAATCAGTTCCATAAAATGATAAAATCTTTTAGTTATAAGAATCGAATATGATTTTGCTTTATAGGGAGACATCTCTAAATATACTAATTTGTATAGGGATTGGACTTAAACAAAAAGTCGGATTCCTACACTTTCACTCTAGTTGAAGATGTTGAGCAAATCAAATTTAGAACTCAATTCTTCGAAAGTCTTCCTAATTAATGCCTTTGTGAAAATATCTGCAATTTGATGACAAGTTTGAACGTGTCGCAAGAATAGTGCTCCTGACTCTATTTTCTCTTTAATAAAGTATTTATCAATTTTTACATGTTTGATTCAATTATGATGAAGTAGGTTCTTTACCATGTCTATTGTAGATTGATTGTCATATAACACTTTTATATG